AAAAAAGTTATTTGACTTAAAGTCTTGTGTTACACAACCAATGGTTAGTCAATGTCATTAGTCGTAAACAATGTTATATAATGTGGTAAACGGTTTTAATTTAAACATCTAAATATTTCTATATACGTAATACAAGAAAATACAAAGATATAAAGATAAGATATATTAATTTTAATTATTATCTTATAAATATTTTTCAAGAATACACTAACGTGTCGTTTGTATAGGGAAATATACAAAAATAAAGTTTACAATTAATTTTCAGTAGTGCATATATTTTATACGTCAATTTTTATTATAAAATAAGTTTAGGAAAACCTACACTTTGTATTTGTATTTATGTACTTTATTGCTTATATTTGTATGTTTGTACATACTTATAATACATACATCATGTTTATAATACATACAGATACATAGTAGTGTAAAACAAATATATAAAGGTAAGCCTAATTCTGTAAGAGTTGTCTTGCAGCAAACCCAAAGTGGAAATAAGGATCAAAGTTAGAAAAAATATATGTTAGGAAAACTATTTTAATGCGAGCAGAAAAGTGTAGACAACATACATATTTACTAGAAGAGTAAAACGTTCAAACCAGAAGTAAAAATACGAAAGTACTACGCCAAGTAGTTGAAAGAACAAATAAAAGTGGCATAGCTATTTAAGCCACGTCACTATTTTCTATTAAAATAATTTATGTAAGTTAGTTGAATAAGTTATAGATTACTTAATTACCGACCCAAATGCTAGTCCTACAATACGTACGAATTTCTATGTAATCGCATTATAATTTTAAATTGGATAAGTACGCACCTTGATATGCTTTCAGTTAGGGCTGTCAGAGTATCCTTATTTATTCCTGATTACTTTTAATATATCTGCCTTGACGAAGCTTATAATAAATTTACATACCTATTTAATTAACCATATGTATACCGTAAAGATAACCGAGACATTTATTATGGTTTAGTAATGCAATGAAAATGATACATGTTAATTCAATCATCCAAAAGTGTACAATAATTATCATTAATTTTTCATAGTTGAAACAAGGCCTCCCGCAGATTTTTACAGAGAATGATTATTCATCTGCATTCGACTACAACCTGCAATACACAACATCTGTGGTCATCACAGTATCCTGTATTTATAACAGAATGTTTATAAGTAATATAATTATAGTAAATTTAATGTGCTTTAATAAATTTAATATTAGACGTTACATAACATAACAATAATTTAATTGTATTTTGAATGTAATTAAATTTTTGCCAAAGTGCATGATTAATATAGATTTATTGATTGCTTTAAGATATTACTGTCCATTGTAATTGATGCGAATATTGATTTATATTAAAATTTTCGTGTTTAAAGACTGTTAATGTACTTAATAAATAAATACATGTAAAATAAATATTTTTTTTGTGTAATTCGTGACATTTTATGCGTTATAAAATACTGTGCTCTTGATAAATGTAATGGTTACAGAAGTATAATGTTTTCTTGAATTTTATCGTCAACCCTATATGTTGGTATAAACTACACTTTAAGCTTCTTGCTACTTTTAACTAGTATTGGTTAAGGATTAAGTTAACAGCTATAACAACTTAATTATATTATCAGTCATACCATATATCAACTATATTTTGTTTAATAATAGAATAAAAGTAGAAACATGATTCGCGGAGCCCTGGGCTTATATTGTAAAAAAAGTGTCTAATTAATTTATCATAATTATATATCATCATTAATCTGGGAGTAAAGCCATGAGATTAGGCATCTATTATTATTGTAATTAAAAAACTTTAGTATGTATTATTTAATACTTTGATAGTAGAGACATTCAGTCAGATTTGAAAAGTAATATAAAGTCAATTCATAAGGTCAAAACATGGGAACAAAGCTAAAATATTGAGCGGCATTTATACTTAGGCAGGTAGTTAATTTCCATTTATGCCTTTCGGTTTTGTGTTTAGAATTAGGACGAAGCAATCCGTTTTAGTTTGTATTCCTCTAGATGCTGTCTATTAGGGTTGGCAAAAGAGTTAGGACAATAGATAATATTTTTATATGAAGTCGAATAATAAGTATAAATAATATTAGAAAGGGAGTTAAAATATGAGGCAATAAGCAATAGTCGATAAAAATCACTGTTAATAGACTTACTAATAATATATTTTTAACGTTTTTTCTTATGTAGTAGGGTTAATTACTATGAATAATATTAAAAGTATTTATTGCCAGTGTCTGCAAAAAGTTAGAAGTTCTAGCACTTTCCCTATTTAGAATAAACTATTGAACAGCACATGTGACAGATAGTTGCTAATTTTTTTGTGAATTAAAATAAAAAATATTTCTAATACATTATTATGCTACTCTCTAGTTTACACAGTTTCAAAAGAAGTCAGTTCTAATTATAAAAATAAAAATTGCTTATTTTTTTACTTTTTCTGATAACCCTAGCTTTACGGTACTACGTGCGCTACATAAAATGGTAACGATAACAGACGAGGTTTACGGCACGAATCGATAGGACGAAAAACAAAAACTAACTTATCCCTTCATTTAAACCTTATTCTTAGGTTTAAACACGTTATCGTTCTTGAAGACTAATTTGCCAGGTACCTATAGGTATTATTTATATGTCAAACAATGCACCGGCTATTTTTTTTTCTCTTTCATTAAATTTCAGAACAAAAAAGCTGCGAATCGTACCGTTACCTACCTACTACTATTATCTACTGTTACCAACGTATTTGAAAAATTAAAGACCTTTGGTACTCGACTGTGACTCGGTTCCTAGAGAGTGCTAATGTGATAATTTTATTTAATTAAACTTTATTGACCAATAAAATATGGTACAAAAGGCGGGCTTAATGCTATAGACAGTCAACCTTTAGGATGTGCAGAGATACTCGATAACGGTTCAAAAAATAAAATTATTTATATTTTAGTATAAGATAGTAATTACTTATATACATATAAACATTCATAAAAGTAAGAAAAATTAAGAAGAGTAACAAGTATGATAATTGGCAGTCACAGTTGAAGTCTTGAAATTTATATGTCATAGTTATATATAATTAGATATTCTAATAACTATATACGTATATATTTGATATATAATTAATCAAATAGTACAAAAAATCATTCCACTTAATTCTTTATGTAGAGAGATATAAAGATAAAGATTTAGTTGTCTTTCACTTTATTTGTATTAAACATTCCATTTGTATCATTCCAGTTAAAATTCCATAATTAGTGACTTAAAAAGTTTCATTCAATATGAAAATTTGTTACTTCTTGGTAAACGGCTTAATATTGATTATAAAATTTGGTAAATTTTGTAAGTAGATACGTAATAGTACGTATAGATGTAATCCTGAAAGATTTCGGTTATTTTTTATCCCGGTCAGTGAACATATTCCAATCACGCAGACGAAGTTGGGAGTTAAAGCTAGTAATTTGATAATAAAAAAAGGATGTTCTTGACTATATAGTATGCAAACAATTATCAAGTCCCTAAGTCAATCATCAAGACACATTATACCCATTTGAGACCACGAAAATATTTCCGTATATATTTGATATTCTGCGCACGTTTCAAGGATCCATCTTTATTTATAGCGAATAGAATAACTATGTTTCTTGTATTCTGTAAATATATGTAAGCTGTATGATTATTTGCCAACTTCATGGCATAAAAAAATAATTATCAAAATTTTGGTGCATTTACATTTCCAACAATTTACTATAAAATTAATAAAATGTGTTCGCTTCTAGATCATAGTTCACATATTATGAAATACAAAATAATTATCTTTTATCATTATATTACGAACCAACTGAAAAACTGTAGTTTGGAAAATAATAACATACACTATGGAGTGTATGTTTTCTACATAGTCTATACAACACAAATTCACGCATATTCACGAACATAACCACATTCATTTACACATCTTCACTTCTCTTAGGGACATATATTAGTAATGTCTTATAATTGCTTGTGTATTATTTATATTTGTTGATTCTACTAACGTTACAATTTTTTGGGATTGCCTGATCAGCAAATGGCCATTGTGTCAATTTTACATTCCTTTTCTTTTATATTCATACCTGCCTAATATATACTTTTTATTGTAAGTTTATTATTTAGTAATCTTTGTCGGATACCCACGATACAGGTTCACCTACTGTGGGGCTCATTGTATCTTATGATTGTAACTTTGTTTTTGTCAAAAAATAAATCTCTATCCTATTTTATTCTAAGTTTATATTTAGCTGACTTTAGAAAAGACCTTAGAGAAAGTTTTCAAATGGAATATATTCTGTATTGTCCTATTATTTATAAAAATTAAAATCTTCTACAAACCTAAATATTAGAGTATTTTGTCGTTTGCTCTCAAATTTTGAGCAATTAGCGTAAAAGGAAAAATAAAACAGTGCTCGTAGGTTTGACGTGTGACGTTCTAATGAATAAGAGGGAGTAATGTCAAGCGATATCATTGATATTGCTGTTTCCGCTAGAAATAGATAAGACGATGCTTATCTACTATCCATCCAAATGAATCGCACCAAACTGTCTTTGACTACTAAGATGATTATCTAAGTTATATAGAATTTTGGGTTCGATATAAATAAATAATATTTATTTAAACTTCAATGCATAATTATATATAATAGAAGTAAGTGAACATATGGCGGACTTGACATCTAATGGCGTTCTCTACCAGTCAACCATGAGGCAAGCAGAAAATTAAGTAGGCGGTGCATTTACTACTAAAATATGTATAAATATTATATAATTATATAAATGTTATATTAATAACATACATACATCCGTAAATAAATATATATGTATACATATACTTACATACACAAATACAATACAAATACAAATAGAACAGTGCTCGAATAATGCTATAGATAATAAACTTACCATTAGATAAAACAACCCAAAATCGACGAGAATATATAAAATATTGAAGTAACTCACCTATCAGCCTGCGGACGATTCTGCGCGAGCCTCTGCATCAGCCAGACTTGTGAGAGAGCAGGTGGGACCAGCCCCGTGCCCAGCGCCGCCAACGCTGCTATCATCTGCTGGAACTGGACATATATTTCGATGTAACCCTGCCGTATTACAATACCACTGTATTTACTACAATGAATGACCGCTATGACAGCTCCAATTGACAAGAATTCTTTTAGAACTTCGAAGGGATGACATAGTTTAAAATTGTAGCTGAATATCGCTTATTGTCGTTTATTTTTATATACCAATACCAGAGGTATTACGCGAGCGTTGCCGACCCTGAAGACGACCGTTTTTTTTTTTTAAGAGGGACGCTGCTGCCCAATCCTCCACCATAAATTCCCTTATTCGCCTCTTACGACACCCACAAAGGATGGTTCATTCTATGCCGGGGCCTACACGGCGAGTCTTTTGTATTACCGTTTTTTTGACATATATGATATTTATGATGTAGTATTAACTGCTAAATAAAATTTGTATATTTTATGATATTTTTTACTCGAATCTAACCTGATTTATATTTTGAGAAGTTGGTTCCTGCAATTGTAGTTGCAATAGATGTTGGAGGAGAGGCGACGCTCCTGGACTCTTCGCGCCCATAGTGTTGTTGGGCTCTGCCAAGCTCTGCAAGTGTTCCCAGCTCACCTGGGCGATAGCTTGTGGACTCTGCGCTTGAAGCTGCAGCTGTAACAGGTGCTGGAGTAAGGGAGGAGCTCCCGGGCTCTTTGCACCCGAAACTGAGCTGCTGTCTGACTCTGAAGCTGGACTCTGTAACAATATATATTTTATTTTAGTAACAAACTCAATTTGCTTCTATATTGCAGGGAGATTTTGTACTCAAGTCCTTTACTCCTTTGTTCCACTCGTGTTTCTACCGTGAGCCACTATGCTTGCATGGTTGTGTTTCGCTTTAAAGGCATAACATCATTGTCCTCGGGATTAACAAATTAATAGGGGCACCGTGGGCGTCACAGTGTATTCTAATGTTCATGGTGATGTCATGTCTGTAGAGACGTTTTCCTTCCATAAAAAAACTTTTTATTTTTTTGACAGGAGGAGATAAATAATGCCCCGTCAACAATAAAAACGACAATATATTAATAAAATTTTACACAACACAGCCTTATAAACTTTTTTTATCATAGAGCAAAATAAACATGTGAAGCTCGACCAATAAAAGTAGGTCATGTTTGAGTAGTTACATATTTATATAGTATTATTCATTGAATAATACAGTTACTATTCCGTATAAAACCTTCAGGAATTTTGAATATATGTCTGAGTACCCTTTAAGAATCTATATTATCAATCTTGTATATGAAAATTCTTGTACTGACCGGTTCAAATTGATAAATTAACGCGAATAAAACTCGAACCATCAACACAAATAAGAATCTAAGACTTGCACTGACAAGTAATTTCTAAGATAAATACATATTTAATTATTTAACTATTGCTATTTGGTAATTTTGCATTCAAAGAAATTTATAACATTCATGTAAAATTTAATTTCTCTTTTGAAAAAGTAATGGCTGAGTTCTTTACTCACTTTTCTCAGTTAAAATTTCGTACCAAATTGCGCAGTAAATTTACAAAAAAAAATTATAAAATGCTGAAAATTAAGTTTACTAGAATAAAGTATATTATTACTATTTTAGGCACGTTCCACTAATTCAATAATTTACGCGTGCATTAACTTACCGTTTGTATTTCAATTATTCCTTAATGATTCTTATCATTGACTGGAGTTAATTAAGTAATATTTCTATGGCGTATTAATATTTATCAATTTGCGACATTTATTTACGCATGTTTCGGTTTTAATTATAAGGAGCTATAATTAAAATGACGGCGAAATATTATCGATATTGAAACTTGTTAGTGGAACAGTAAGTTTGCAATGTGCTATATTTTGTTAGTGGTGAGAAATTTTTTCCATCGTATTTATTTTACTAATAACCGAGGTTCTAAAGGTCATCCATTTGAAAGTAATTATTTTAGTTCATGACTATCAGACAATCAATATATAGTATTTACAGAATGTTATGTAGGTAATTACCTACAAGTAAATTAGAAATCATTGGCATTATTCTAAAGGATATGTTTTTTTTTTAAATATCTGCGAAACTGAATAAAAAAGCAACAGTCAAACAGAAGTCGAAATAATGATAAAAAAATTTTACCGCAAAAATAAAAACTTAGTATCCGAAGGTTTTTATTAGCTTTCAATCATGTTCTTTGGGAATTATAATTTATTCAATTTTACTGGCAGAATATTCCATTGATTTATGCTAAAAGGTAATTAGTATTTCACTCTATAATTTTCCTATACTTTAATTTATTAGCTAGCTACTTCATATGTGTGGTTTCAGAAGTACGAAAACCAATGTAATAAACAATTTTTAGATTAAGTTACACGTTCAGGAATACAATGGTGTAAACCTCATCCAATTTGTATAGTACTTTTTGCGTGATAACGAATCAAACATACAGACGATAGTCAGATAAAATTTCTAATATATATGTTAAAACCCATCATATTAATTTTGCTTAAATATTTCTTATTATCAAGATTACGCTGGTTGTGAAATTTAGACGATCGAAAGTTAAACCAAATACTATATTATTGTTAATAATGGAGACTAAGGGCCCCATTGCTAGCAATATACCCGACCAGATCGACCTCCATATTCCTCCCCCCCCCCCTCTCCCCTAGAAACCATCGAGCATTACTCACTGGTGCTCCGCCAGTGTTGACCGACAGCGCAGGCGGGGTTACTATTCCATCATCACCAATTAAAATATCAAAATAGAACTAAAAATGATAACAAATATAGTTAATTTGTAATACTAGTACATTTACAATACTAAATAAATATGCAAATAGTATCGTCTATCTCTGCATCAAATGTCATACAAATCCGTTTAACCGCTCATTACTATTTACTTAAGCGTGACTGAGTAACAAATCAAAAAGATACAATCATGTTACTATATTTATCATCAATGTTACTATAATTATGTCGCATATTTTTTACCACATTTGCCCTTCATACGCTTTCTTTCTTTGCCTAATGGTTAGCTGGTAGAGAATGCCGTATGACATTAAGCTAGCCACTTGTACAAAGTTTTATTGTGCAATAAAGAATAAATAAGTAAATAAATCATATCATGGAATGATAAATAATATAGTGTTTGAAAGTTCTACTTAATCAATAAAGTACCTTCAAGCAGTATAACTGATTACATTCATTTCCAATTGATTTCTCAATTCGAATTTTCGATTACGCAAAATTGATAATCGTTGACCATAGTACCTAAGTAGTTATTGTTCTTGTGAAGGCCGATTTTGATGCGATATAATTTTGCTGTCAGACCTGAAGCGTATTTTCCGCTTGTTTCAGTGTCAATTGCGTTAATTAATGTTAGTGATTAATGCTATTTTGTTTAAAGTGCCACGTGACGTGTATAGGACAATGGATTTGTTTTTACACTTTTTTATAACATTTTTCCTATAACAAGGCAAAATAGATATCATTATTATAATCAGTTAAATTGTTTTAAACTTATAATTAATTTATTAATCATTAGGTATCTAGTGTTTAAATATTTTAAAGATTTTTATATTTATTTTAAATAATAAACTACAACTATTTATACATATAAAACTTGAAAAAATCATGCGTCAGCTATAACGTCCTACCAAACCTACTTAACTAACCTTACAAAAATATTTAATGAATCTCGTTTAAAAGGTTAATTAACTAATAAATAATCCATCGTATTGTCGAAAGCTATTAAGTTTTGGTAGGCAGCTGGAAACATGGGGAAAATGAAGAATATGGGGAAAAGAATAATGGAGTTTTTATATTTTTCCTCGCAATTTTGCCAATTTTTCTTTTTCTAAGAATTTTCTCAAACTTCAACAAAAATAAAAAAAAAGACTATCCAAATTTGTCTATTCATTCTTGAGTGTTTAACAACATATTAATGGTTTCATATGTATTTATATAGTAAAGAGATTTATTACCACTTCGGCCAGATTAAAAAAATATTGAGTAAATATAAACCCTTAGTAATTTAGGCCACGGATCAAGAATTAGGCATATAAAACGAAATGGTACTGCAAACAAAACGCGCAAAACTGTTCTACGTGGCAAGCGTTGGTGTACTTGCGACCAGTTTGGCTCACCTTGGCGTTTCGCTAATCATGTCCACCTTGAATACTAACTAACAGATTGTTTAGCTATCGTCCGATGCACATATCTATACGACGCGTATACCTACCAACATAAAATATTAGGTTGCCGCCATATTGATGTTTTGTTTCCTTTTCCTTGATTTGATTGATGGATTGTTTTCTTAAGGTGATTAATTAATTACGCTTGCGTCAAAAGGATGTTTTTTGTGTGTGTATAAGACTTAATAGTTATCAAGAATAAGTTATTTAGGTATTTTATTTTATAACAATTCATAACCTGAAGACAGAAAGCCCAATTTTTGTAGAAACTATACGTAGATTAAATATCTACGTATAGTCTCTATGCAGCAATGAATTTATTTTTTCATAGAAATTGATTTGTCTGCTCTGAGAAATCTGCTAAGAGGGAATTTTATACAGGTAACTCATTGTCACGACAATGAAAAATTGTAGAGCAAATATAGATAGAGATAAATTTATAAAGACAATATATTTTGCATTTTAATAAGATCAATAGTGGTGGTCGGTTTTAACTTATTTCTGACACCAGCTCCTCACAGCAGAGTTCCATAATATTTTTATTTTATTTTATCCTAAATACCTCATGTGTAAATCTAACTTGTTTGTAAGGAGACATAAATAAATATATTATTATTATCATAGGTAAAATATTTTGATTAATTCTTAGTCTCACTTATTGAAACAATTAATTGGCCTTTAGATATATTAAAGACAATATTCGCAGCTCATATAACAGCACTAATTGGCAGAACAACTAACAATAGTTTGCATCTATTTTTTTTTTTTTCTAACTCGTTATCGACGACAGTGGCGCGTCGAGCAGCTGCTCCCATTATTTGAACTTGTGTAAAAAACTGGCTACATAATTTACCGCTCGCCAAATGGTGGGGTCCACAACACATTCTAATTCTAAACTCGCGGCCTCGACCAATAGCGGCCGAGGACGAGCCAACATGGCGGCCGTGGGAACCGGTTAATGGGCCGTTTGAATTTAGAATAGTATTTTTATTAATGCCTATAAAAACAATCTTTTTTTTATTTTATGCCTACTATTTTATCAATATCACAGAGGCAAATTAAATTTAGGTAGATATTACAGCTATGATTAGTAATAGATTACACCTACTTATAGACAAATAAATTGACGGTTAATTTGAATAAGGTCGTAGGTTTTCAATTGTTTAGTTGGCAGCTGTTTTAAATAATTGTAATTTGTATTTTAAATTCACCGGTATGTTTTTTAGTCGTAATAAATGCTGTCCTTAGTTAATGGCATGACAAGGTCTAAAAATGTTCGAATAATTTGCATGTTGATTAACAAACCAGCATTATAAGTACCTGGGTTTAGCTAAGTGTCGTGCACTTGAGTTGATGATTTTTTCATTAATATATAACACCTTACATAACTATCTATGTATTGGTTAATCAATTCAAAAACGACATAAATAGAACAATTTTAATAATATATCTACAATAGTTTTTTTTTTATTATATTTATAGCTTTTTAATCTTAAATAAATATATGTTATTAGAAATAAACAAATAA